ATCATGGAAGATGAGTTAAAACCGTAAAGATCTTTAATGAAATAAACAAGATGGAGCATTCTTTATTTTGAACCACTATCTGGATACTATTAAAAATAAGACCACAGAATGCAAATTATTTGCAAATATGCAAGCTCATAAAAACAGTGATAAAGTACCATGCTCTATAAGCATAAGAAGCCCAAGAATGTGACTGTTCCCTATTGCCATCATCATTTCTACATGTATCACCTCTGAGAGCCAGTCAGGGGCTGCAGGTACGGCGAGGCCTGCTGCTGAACGTAGCCACTCGGCTGCTGCTGAATCTGTCTGAGTCTTTCCATTAGCACAGGGTTGGAATGTGCAGCCGGATAGGCTCTGGAGTTATAGCTGGGAGACAGGACCACGCTGCCAGCCTGCTGCTGCGATGTCTGCTGCAAAGGCATCTGAGTCCCGTACATTGTATAGCCCTGGGGCATGGTCTGCATGCAGGCACAAGGAAAGAAGTCAGTGTTTCAATTAATACCCAGCTTTCCCATCACTACAAAATATGGGGCAAAAACAAACCCATGAAGACTCCCCTGAAATTCACTGTTTTCAAAGGTTCTCATAACTCAGAATTTGAGGAGGACTACCCTGGATGCAGGGAATCTGGCCAGAAAAGCCACAGAATGATCTGGCTGTGTAATGATTCACCAGAAATGTCAACTTAAAAAAAAAATGAATCCTCATTTAGTTCAACTGGCTTTTAAGATCAGCTGCTTATTTTGAGAAAAGAGCATGTTTCCATAAAGGAATAATCAGGCAAGCATCCATACCTTCAGTGCACAGATGACATCAATGTTCAACAGATCCCAAGAATCATTAACATCATCTCCAAAATTAGTCAGAAAAGCTACCCATGCTCACTGTAAATTGAAATAATGAAATATACTTTCCCAACATATAACTACACCTCTTCAGGTAGTCACAGTCTGATTGTGTGTGTGTAGTAACTAACCAGTTCCAAAACTGTGCCAAAAAACTATTAATACCTTAGCTAGGAAGGGTACAACTGGTAACTGTTCATTATCTTCTAGTACTAATGAGACCTAGTTCAGCACTCTACCAGTAATGTGAACACTTAACTTTCCTAATCAATATTAATATACAAGTACCTAGTTCTTTGAATATTGTCACCTTATAAAAAAGAGAAACCTGAGGTTCTGTTGGATCACTAGGTACAATTTATAGAACTCAACGCTAATTAAAGTAGAACAACATTGCTCTTCAAATCCTCAAAGCATCGTATTTTCAGGTAGTTTAATGCATCTGACTTGGAACAGAGAGAAATGGATAATGAACTTCCAGCAGGCAGCATGAATGGATCCAGGCTGAAGGGCTCAGTGCCTGTGTAGGCCAATCTGGGCTTCTCTTTCAGCTGTGGACAGAGAATGAATTGCCAAACCAACTAACAATCTTGTCAACATCTCTGCATTCCTGATTCCCAGAGGGATAGGGTGAGAGTATACAAATACAGAAATAACAAAATTATTAGTAAAAGTAGCTCAAGGTTTGCATTATATTGTGTATCAGCCACTATGTTAGTTCCATAGGTTGTCTTAAATCCTTCACACCCTTCATCTCTATTTTACAGAGAAGGAAACCAAAACTCAGAATGGGTAACTTACACAGTGGCACACAGCTAGTAAGTTGCCAGGAACTGTGTCAAAGTCTGATTCCAAGGCCCATTATTTTCTTATTCTACCATGATTCCTCATTGATGCTATCTTTGAATATGACTCTTTATTTATTTATTTATTGAGATGGGGTTTTGCTCTGTTGCCCAAGGCTAGAGTGCAGTGGTCTGATCAGAGCTTACTGCAACTTAACCTCCCAGGCTCAAGCAGTCCTCCACTTCAGCCTCCCTTGCAGCTGGGACTATAGGTGCATATTACCACACCTGACTAATTTTTTAATTTTTGTTTTCTTTTGTAGAGATTGGGTCTCACTATGTTGCCCAGGCTGGTTTCAAATTCCTAGGCTCAAGAAATCCTCTCACCTCGGCCTCCCAAAGTGCAGATTATAGACATGAGCCACTGAGCTCAGCCCAAATATGACCACTTCAAAACTGAATTACATCATCATACATCATAACATAAAAGAAATAACTCTGGGATTGTTAAGTATTTCAATATCTACAATCATCACTAATAAAAGGTTTAAATTTATATTTTTAAAGGATTTTCTAGAATGTTTTATGCTCCCTAATCAATCCTAAGACTTGCTCAACAATCCTGATAATGCTGTTTCAAAATGTCAATTATAATCTGTAAGTAAAAGAAATAACCAAGTTCTAGACCCCAGAGGAAGTTGATATATTCTATTTACTAAATTTCCCTCTTCCAACAAAGAGTGTTGAAAATCCTGTCAGTACCTACAAAGCAAATGTGGGTACCTGTGCTTGCTGCAGCCCTGGATACTGAGGGAGCTGAGGGGAGGGCCGTGCTTGTGCAGCAAAGAGAGGAGCCTGGTCCCCTGGCTGGCCCTGGAAAACAAAGACAAAGTAAACACTTGATCATAACAGCAAGGGCTTGACTTAAGCTTCTGGTTAATAATCCAAATAACCCACATCCAATCTCATTACATGAATAAAGAACTCAGAGATTTTCAGAGTATATTAAATATTATTTCTCATCAATTCCCTATGAGTGTTTAGACTGTTGAATTTATTCCTTCCAAAGAAGACTATAGATTTTACCAATAATGACACAGACACAAATACAAGCCTAAGTAATCAATGGTAAGCTCAGCAGAGAGGCTGTCCGCTGGCTTCCAATACACGCCAGGGTACAAATGCCCCACTAAGTGTTAAACCTGGAACCACAGGGCTGTACCACCCAGTGCCTATACAGGGAAGAGAACGTGTGGTACAGACACATGCCACATAAAATTGTTGTGACTTTTTAATGAAGCTTCTTCACAGTGACCTACTAATTGCCAGATATTCAAGGAATACATTTAATACTTCCCATCACTCTAAAAATCAAGGAGAATATAGTCAATAAATTTTGTAAGTTAATAGCAAATACAATTCTAACCAACTATAATGCAAAATAAAACCAATTAACATCTGTTCACCGATCTTAATCTAATATACGTTTTGGCCATAGGAAAACAAACGTTCACAAGAGCAGTTGTATGTGGACTTTACATTCTGGTGGCAGAAGTTACTTCATGGAAGGGTACAGTAATAATCACAACAAGAAGGCTAGTTTCCTACCACTCTGGTGTTTTTTTTACAGGACTCACTGATTGTAAAGAATGAGATTTATTGTAGGATTATTTTACTACTGTCTTTATTAGAGATTCTCATTTTTAAAAGTGCTGAATTACAGTTATACAAAATGATTTTAATGTGCTTGGAAAGTAGTGTAGATAATTCTAACAGGGAGAAAGGGATAAACATGTAGCTTAGGAGGAAGGACACCAATGATCATTAAGAATCTATCATATTTCAGAGATGGGCTTCTGGTTCTTACTCTCAGTTTCTCACAAGAACCCTATAGGAAAGAAGCATCATCCTCAAGCCAGGCTCAAAGAGCTTAGGCAACTTAGCAAGCTTGCCCAGCAAGACTCTAGTAAGTCTGACTTGAAAGCCTAGGGCTCTTTCCATTGTTATGAGATGCCTCCATGTGTGACATTAAGGATGAAAATACTTATTTGGTGCTTATTCTGTAATGACATATAGCCTTTTAAAATCGTCCCAATAAGAAACCAAAAGGACAATCTCCATTAATCTTTTTAATGAGATACCAAAACCAAATGCATACATGAGACAGGTGAATCCTTTTTCTGATCCCCATAAAGAATCATGGGGCCATTTATGAAGCTTCATCATCTCTTTAGGTGACAATCCATCTATATATGAATGAAACATAAATTTTTAGTGTACCTCTGAGGGTACAAATACATAAAAGCTTCAATAAGAATCTTACTTTCTGAGTGGGCTATCGTGAAGACACTCATTTTAATCTGTTAAAAAACACAACTGTATCTCCATTTGCTTGGCTTAGAGAAAAACAGCCCAAACTTCCTCTGTGAGAACCCATACCATAGCAACATGGGCATCAGGAGCCTAAAACTGTTCTTCCCAAAGAATCCAAATGGCTCTTTATCCTCCAAACACTATGCCAAGGAATAATTAAATCAACCAGATCCTTAAAGACCACTCTGGACACTAGCATTGTACAAGACCCGAGACACACTGTTGTGCTTCTTTGTGGAGACAAATACATGCATGTTACCTTTTCACAAAACAGAAAAATTAACTAATTAAATATGTGTTAGAATCTAGGGATCAACAGGTAGTTTATAGCACTCATGCCCTCTTTTGGCTTTGTGGGAAGCAGGATGTGATCTGTGATAGCTGCATGCATAAAGCTGATGTTTTCTAATTCTTTGCTCTTCCTTTGCTTTTATTGAAGAACTTTACGAAACACATTATGACATATATGATGGGGGGGAACTAGAACACTAATAAGGTATATATATGAGTTCTTGGGCGACACTCTTACTGATAAATATTAGTTGAGATCATGGGAATTTAAGAAATAGGAACTAGGTAGGTGCAGTGGCTCGTGGCTCATGCCTGTAATCTCAGCACTTTGGAAGGCCGAGGTGGGTGAATCACTTGAGTACAGGAGCTTGAGACCAGCCTGGGCAACATGGTGAAACTCCATCTCCACACACACACACACACACACACACACACACACAAAGAAAAAAAAAATTAGCTGGGTGTGGGGGCATGTGCCTGTAGTCTCAGCTACTTGGAAGACTGAGGTGAGAGGATTGCTTGAGCTTGACAGGCAGAGGTTGCAGTGAGCCAAGATCGTCCCACTGCACTCCAGCCTGGGCACCAGAGTGAGACCCTATCACACACACAAAAAATAGAAACTGAAAACTAATATACTACATTTCAAAAAATCACAAAACATTCAGAAAAAAAGTGCTATACTTTTAAAATGAGAAAGGAATACAAACTGAAATACAGTTTTGACACTCTGAAATTCATGTCAACCATTTATGTCTAAAGGTGAACTATTTACATGTGAACATATTATGTTCCCTCTTGACCACCAGTTTGTCCCAACATACTACTTAAGTAGAGAAAATAATTCGGATATGCAATATTTTACCTGAGAAAATCACAAACACTCCTATTTGACTAGCACTCCCCAGGTTTGCTGTGCATAGCTGTATCATCACGTGGCTCTAAAAAGAAAACATCCTAATCTCTCCTACCAGATTGAAATGGATTCCTACTTTTGTTTTTCCCAGAATAATGCCAGAAACACATTATTTCAATTTGTAGAAATAGTTCAATCAGTTGAGAACAGAATAAATAAGTTCTTTAATAACTTGAAATATTTTACAAATATTGAACAAGAATCACAATCTGAGAATAATCAAGGAAACTAGAGACTGAGAATTAGTAAAATCTTTAAATATTGGTGGGCACGGGTTTGGCCACGTTAATCCAAGAAGAGACTGTCTAATGTCTATCATCCAAACTAGGACAAGCCAGGACAAGAGGGCAAAGTGAGACCATGGCTGGCAAGTCAGGACATCTGGTCACTTTAGTTATCTGTTAATTTCTGAAAATTTTCAAGCTTTATTTTATTTTTAATTAGTGCCTAGCACATATAGTAAGTCCTCAGTAAATATCTGTACAGAATAACTAAGATTTAATTGAGTTTATCTGTCAACCAGGAAATCCAGAGGTAAATTAGGATTTCTATTTCAGCATCAATTACTTTACCAAGTGCTTTCTAATTGCCTCATAGTTGTCAGCGCCATCTTTTGAAAACTCAAATTTAATGTTTGGCATCTACCATTCTAATGATTTCTTCTTCCTGCCAGCATTAGTATCTGGAGAGTAACTTAATTTCACCCTATTCATTCTGCTCAACCAAAACAACTGAGGCCACTTTAACTTTTTTATTTGGGGGGGGGGGGGCAGAGTTTCCCTCTGTTGCCAGGCTGGAGTGCAGTGATTTGATCTTAGCTCACTGCAACCTCTGTCTCCAGGTTCAAGTGATTCTCCTGCCTCAGCCTTCCGAGTAGCTGGGACTACAGGCATATGCCACCACGCCCAGCTAATTTTTGTGCTTTTAGTAGAGACAGGGTTTTACCATGTTGGCCAAGGTGATCTCTTGACCTTATAATCCACCCACCCTGGCCTCCCAAAGTGCTGGGATCACACATGTGAGCCACTGTGCCCGGCCAACTTCATATTTTTTAATGCATGGAAAGGACTGTCTGGGAACATTATTTGTTTTTTTTTGTTTTTTTAAAGACACAGCACCTTACTTTTTTTGCCAAGGCTGGAATGCAGTGGTAAGATCATATCTCACTGTGGCCTCAAATTCCTGGACTCAAGAGATCCTCCTGCCTTGGCCTCCAAAAGTGTTGGAATTACAGGTATGAGCTACTGTATCCAGCCTGCAGGAAGATAGTTTTTGATGGCATAGTTGTGTCTAGCCAGGTGCTACGTGACCTGAAGCTTATCAGTAAGAGAATAGATACTTGTTCCCTCCTTAAGCTTCCATGGCTCAGATACCTGACTTGTATGTGAAAGGGAATGATCTACAGAGAACTGGGACAGCCTAATAATTATATGCCCATCTCTACATTACTACCTGAGGTAAATTCCTACGCAAGGTCTCTTTAATTCATTTTTATGTACTTTGCTTTGGGCTTACCTCTATAAATAAAATATAACATTAAATAAATACTTTCTAAAATTTCCATTTTTAAAAAACTTCTAAAGAAGCTGTGCTGTTCAATATTGACCTATCTTCCTAACCTTTATAAGAATTTTCTCTTACTGCTGTGTTTTTAACTAGACACAAGTATGTGAGCTCCAAGAGACGTCGACTCAAAGGCTTTTTGTATAATTTGAAATTAATGCATCTGATTAAGTTTTAAATTTTTGATAAATGATCCTCAAACATAATTTTTATTCTTCTGTGCTTTAACCTCTTCTGTATTAGCAACTTACCCCCTCAGTCAAATGAGAAAATGTGAAGATCTCAAGTAGGACTTGTTACACCTCCAATTAGCAATCAGTAAGGATTATAATCAGAGCATTTCAGAATCAGGAGTTTCCTATCTACTCAACTTATTAGTAATGATGCAAATACTTATTTAATAATTTTTCAGTAGTGTTTAAGGATTACAAGTAGGGAAACAAGTCATATCTATAAAAACCACAGTCAGATTTTGTGACTGTGTGTCTGGAAATACTGATTTTGAAAGAAGTAATAAAAGGCACATAACAAAAACCAGTGGTAATGTTTTACAAGTCACCTAGCAGAAAGGGTTTCATTTGTAACTCCTAGTTTGGAAGTTACTGAGTGCCTTAGGCTAAAACAACACATGGTATGAACCAGAAGTTGTGTTCATCACATCATACTGGTTTATTTTGATTGCAGACAACAGAGAGAGAAAATTCTATAATTATAAAAGGTTTTGTTGACTAGTTATGCTTGATACTTTTAAAAGTTTTCACCAAGGCCAGGTGCAGTGGCTCATGCCTGTAATCCCAGCACTTTGGGAGGCTGATGCAGGAGGATCAAGAGGTCAGGATTTCAAGACCAGTCTGGCCAACATAGTGAAACCTCGTCTCAATTAAAAAATACAAAAAATTAGCCAGGTGTGGTGGTGTGCGCCTATCATCCCAGCTACTCAGGAGGCTGAGGCAGAAGAATCATGTGAGCCTGGGAGGCAGAGGTTACAGTGAGCCAAGATTGTGTCATTGCACTCCAGCATGGGCAACAGTGTGAGACTCCATTTCAAAAAAAAAAAAAAAAAAAGTTTTCACCTCAAATACAACTTGGTTGGAAATCAATGAACAGTAACTAATTGCCAGAATAGTCTGATTCATTCCAAAACAAATACGTCCCATACAGTAATAAAACTTTATGATATCAGCACGTCCATAAATTATAACAACTGATTGAATATATATTCATTAATTTCCTAAGAAAGCAAAAATACTATAGAAAAATAAGAGTGGTAAAATGGATAGCAAAAATACACACTTTCATTAATTTGAATTAATACGGAAATCACAGAACCTTCTTTTGACTTTACTTATAAACAAAATAGTTGTCAATAAAAACATTTTTTAAAAAGTAAACCAGCGATTGATGCAAATTGTTTTCTATCTGAATTACATTATCACCTGAATAATAAACAATACCCTACAGCAAACATAAGCTATCTCCAAAACATTTTTGAACTTGATAGTTTAAGTTTTTCAGTAAAGTCCTCACCTGCTCCCTGAATACCATAAAGTGTCAAGAAATGTTGAGTCTTTTCAGAAAAGTTTCCAAGCTTTCCTTTGCTGAAATAACTACTGGAGAAAATGCCTATATACCAAGTATTAAATAACCTAAATATTTTCAAAGTTTGAATATGCAGTTAAGCATATTTGTATCATGTATAATGTTACCCATTAAATTGGCAGTGAAACAAGTTAACTTACAGTCACATGTGAGATGTGTGCTCTTTTTTATTCTAATGCTTCTTGGGTTTATGTTGTGGGTTGGCTATCTGATACAGAAATCTATAAGTAATTTAATGCAAAACATGCATTCTTAGCTAGCCCAGGCAAAGCAGTAGTGATGAAGTCTTATGACATGCATGCACAAGACCTATGCTCAAAAAAAATCTTCTCCACCCTGGAAAGAAAACAGAGATGATGCATTCTGTTGAGATTTTCAGAATAGCCAGTGAGTGGGATGTGATGAGAGGGTAAGATTCATAACCACAGTTTTCATTATCTTGCATTGGCCTATGAATTAGCATGCCATGCGTTCCTCTACTAATGATATAAATTACCACAGAGAGAAGCAAGAGCTCAGGAATAGACAGGTTCAAAACTGGGACTGAGATGAAGGTGCACAAACTGGTCTATGCTCCCAAGCCCAGGCCGTGAATGTCTATTGGTTTCTACACCATACATGTATATGATGGAAATCATGAGGCGATCAAAGGGGGGCACTTTCAGAAAAAAAAAAAATCACTAAATTAAACATGGTCAATGCATTCATGATTCTGTGTTACAGTCTTAAACATAAACCAAGTGAGTAACAGTGAAATGAAGACTATAATTTTTGCCAGCTATAGGAAAAACCTGCTTCTCATTTTGACGTTCAAGGGCAATGCTATAAAAGTTTATTTTAAAAAAACAGAAAGAAAAGAAAGAAAAAGAAATGACAGCAGGGGTGTTACCATTATGTTGTCAAAGTCTTCCAGAAGGGAGACAGCAGAGTTACAGAAGTCCTACAGAAAGGGGACAGCAAGAAAATGGCAGACAATACAGATAAGATTTTTTAGCCTGATGACGTAGATAGCGAAAATACATATGAAATATTTCATTTAAAACAATGTTGCAGGAAGTCAAGACTTAAAAACATAGGCCTTATAAGGTTTTTATTAATTAATGAGTCAAACAACTTCACTACAGACTGCAACACTGAAAAACAATATGGTAACATTTATATAATAGAATAGCACAACATGGAGGTTAAATGGTGACATAAAAGTAGAGGAGATATCAGACACCGAAATGTGCTGCAACTAAGGGGCTTTGGAACCCCCATGTGAGCAACAGAAGGCTAGAGTTCTTCCCACCCTAGAGCCAGTGGGGGAGCTCAGGACATGTGGGTCACATTAAGCAGAAAAGGCATTTAGTGAAGAAGTTAGTAGGCCAGTTATTGAAGGATGTAATTAGCCCCATCCCCAGTAAATGGAAGTAAAAAGAGAACATCAGGTTAACCATACATTCAACCAATCATGGTAGACAACAAAAATTTATACTGCCACCACTGTTTGCACACTAAGAGAGAATCTGATTTAGGAAAAGTCAACTGAATACCTGGGGAAAATTGCTATTTCTCAACTAAATGAATCCCTTGTTTAATCATTTATATAATCGAATTCCAAGGGATATATTACTGAGATGTTAAAAATTTCCCTGAGCTCACTGAGTTCTAGAGATAGAGATGAAGCAAAGAATTTCACCAATAATAGAAAAAGCATTTTACTATACTGAGGATTAGAAAGTACAAGAGGAATTTCCCAGGAAAATAATATCTAGTCTCACAATTTTACGTATAGGTATGTAATTCAATGCATTTGTACATAGGTCTTCAGCTCCAATTGCCATGCTAGTATTAGTGATTCATTTCCTCACTCCTCTATCCAATCTTCTGCCCTCTCTCATAAAAATCAAGCTGCATGCACTATCTCCTAGCTCCTCATATTTGCCTAATCATTATTTTAGCATATAAACTCAGCACCTTCCTCATCATTCGAATAAACAGAGAAATATCAGATATAAATAATAAGTGAGGCACTAACCTTCCTGGACATGCTTTCTACCCAAAAACCAAAATGATGGGGTTTAGGACATCTTTACCAGTACAGTGATTTTCTTCTCCTAAGTCCATTTTTGTCATTGACAGGTATATTAATTACACTCTTTGAATAAACATATTAATTATCAATACTCAAGGTATGTTTTAACAAGATTATTTTGCCTACCATTTAAAAATGAGAATATAATTCGAAATATGCTATATTGATATGATCAGGAAATTTACAAAAGGGAAAACTTGAATAGCTAGTCAAGTTATGAAAAATGGATAAACTCACAGGTAATCAGGTAAATGCAAATTAAGATGTCACAATACAACATTTCACCTACACTGATTGAGAAAAATACGGTCTGATAATACCAAGGATTGGTGAGAATATGGAAAAAGAAAAATGCTCATTACTATTCTAAGAGGAATCACCAGCACTTTCAAAACTGAATCAACATTTCCATGTTCTGGTGCATATACCCTAAAACTTTCTACATGTATAGAAGAAATGTGTAAGAATATTTACTGTAGCACTGTTAACAGTTAAAAAAAAAAAACTTGAATAACTTAAATGATTGTCAATAGGAGAGTGAATAAATAACATATTAATATTCATAATGAAATAGCATCCAAAAGGATAAATGAATGAATATAACTACATGAAACAAAGTAAAAATAATTAAAATATTAGCTACAAAAAAGTAAGGTGCAAAACAATACAACACATGTGTGAGAGCATTTACATCACATTTCAAATCTACAAAGTAATATTGTACAATGTTTATGCTGATAGGTGCAAGCATATATATTAAAAACATAAAAACATGCATAAGAAAATAAAACACTACGTTCATGATGGGGATTTCCACTTTAGAGGAAGAAAGGGAAATGAAAGAAGATACAAGAAGATTCCTCCACATTTGTAATGTCTTATTTAAAAAATAATCTAGAGTATTATGAAAGAATATTATTTAATAAAGCTAGGTGGTAGTACGTTAGTGATTATTACATTATTTTCTATTCTTGTCTATATGTTTGAAATACATATACCATTAAAAAGTGAGTGGGAGGGAGAGATAAAATAAACATATTTCAAGGTAATACCATATCC